TTTTGAAATTTTAATTATGTGTCTTGGTGTGAGTCTCTTTGGGTTCATCTTATTTGGAACTCTCTGGGTTCCTGGATATGGATGTCTACTTCCATCCCAAGGTTAGGGAAAGTTTCAGCCATTATATCTTTAATAAGTTTTCTGCCTTTTTCTCTCTCTCTTCTCCTTCTGGGACCCCCATAATGTGAATATTGGTATGCTTGATGTTGTCTTTTAAGTTCCTCAAGCTATGTTAAATGTTTTTTCATTCTTCTTTTTGCTGCTCTGATTGCATGAGTCCCACTGACCGTTCTTTGAGTTCACTGATCCTTTCTTTGCTTCATCTGTTCTCCTGTTGAACCCCTCTAGTATATTTTTCAGTTCAGTTATTGTATTCTTCAGCTTTGTGACTTCTATTTGGCACTTTCTTATGTTTTCTGTCTCTTTATTGAAGTTCTCACTATGTTCATCCATCTTCTCCTGAGTTTGATGATCATCATTATGACTGTCATTTTGAATTATTTATTAAGTAAATCACTTATCTGCATTTCAATAAGATTTTTTTTATGATGTTTTATATTGTTCTTTTGTTTGGAACATATTCCTCTGTTTCTTCTTTTGGCTTAACTCTCTGTGTTGGTTTCTATGCATTGGATAATACAGCTACCTCTCCTAGTCTTGAAGGAGTGGCCTCGTGTAAGAGATGAACCTTGTTGTTCAACCCTGCCCTAACTCTTGGTTGCTGCTCAAATTTTTGTGATTATCCAAGCAGCCTATTTTATTTTTAATGGCTCTTAGTAGCCAGAGGTGTCAGTGACTCACAGGGGAGTATTTCAGTCTGCACCTAGATTTAGGCTAATTGGAAGCCAGATGCTCAGGCAGCAGCTTTTAAAGCACGCAAACATATACAGTCTTATGTGACTGCAAGCATGCAATCTAGAGGTGTTGTCTGGGATGCAGTCACAAAATCAGGGCTCCAGACAAGTGTACAAGGTCCTTTCCAGGAAATACTAGTGGCCTAGAGTGAGGCAGAGGGAAAACACAAAGACAGCATCCAGAGGCTTCTGTACCTGGAGTGCACCCCATTTGACCCTAGATGTGTGTCAAACCAGAAGCCTGCCCTTCAGGCTGAAGCTTCAGGAGAAACAAATAAGTGTCCTTCACAGAAAGGGTGGGGGTGTGTTTCAGTCTACTGTCTGCACAGTACCCTGGGGGTGGTCACCTGCCAAGGACTTTCTCTCCATTTGTCGTGGTACCATGGGACTCAGGAATGCAGGCTCTGCTGGCCACCAGAGCTGGGTGATCAAGGGACATCCCCTGCCTGGTGGCCACAAAAACCGAGCCACCAGACTTAAAAACCAAGGCACCAGAGACATGTAAGATACATGTATCCAAGATCCAAGGCACCACATACATGTAAGATCCATGTATCCAAGAGACACTGGTGCTCTGGAGTGTGGCAGAGGGAGAGCACAGAGACAACACCTGCCCTCTGAGATTTCCAAAGAGGACCACAGTGGGCCCTTAGATGTGTGTTTAATTAGAAGCCTGACTGTCAGGTTGCAGCTGTGAAGACAAGCTAATAGGCCTCGTTTGCAGACAGATTAGTGCTTCTGTCTGTTGCCTCTTGCTATGCTCTGGGGAGAGTAGCCATTTAAGAACTATTTCTCCATTGATTACAGTCCTGTAGGACCCTCGAGTGTAAACCCTGCTGACCAACAGAGCCAAGTGATTTAGAGATGTCACCTGGGCAGAAGCCAAACAAATAGAGGTGCCAGAGTAGGATAAAAGCTCCTTTCTGGGAGAAACTGGTAAGCTGGAGTGTAGCAGAGGAAGATCACAAAGATGGTGTCCACAAACCTCTGTCCTCAGATAGTACCCCAGCGGGCCTGCAGATGTATGTTAAATTAGATGCTTGCCCCTCAGGCTTTAAGATAAGCAATAAGCCTCTTTCACATAAAGCCTGGGTGCCTTTCAGTTGGCTGCCTCTGTGCGGGTTCCTGAGACAAGTGGATCTGAGTCCACGAGCCCTTTAAGAGCTGTTTCTCAGTTCACTATAGCCCTGTGGGTCTCATGGATGTGAGCCCTGCTGTTTTTCAAAGCTAGATGTTTTGGGTGCTCATCTCTCAGGTGCAGGTCTTAAAAGTTGGGGTGTCCAGTGTGGGGTTCAAAGCCTTCATTCCTTAGGGAGAAGCCCTGGGTTTTGAGTTCCCTCTTGATTATGGGTTGCTGTGCCCAAGGTGGGGTTTATGGCAAGATTGTGTCTCAGCCTCTCCTGCACTCTTCGATGTGGTCTTTTTCTCATTTGCCCAATGTTTAGGGGTTACTCAGCAGTTTTTAGCTTTTTTCCAGAGGAAGTTCTTCCATATTTGGCTGCAGATTTGGCATGTCCGTGGGTTGAGGTGAGTTTGGGATCTTTCTGTGTTGCCATTTTGAACTGGAACCCGTACTTTCTCTTTTAGTTAATGGCGCTAATATCTACCTAATAAACTGAGTCAGAAACCTCAGGGTCACCCTTGATTTCTAGCTCTTGTTCTTTTGGAATCTTACTGGTCACCATCACCTACCTACCAAATTGAACTAGTGTGTATCCCCTACTCTTCACCACTAGTGAGCCATCTTTAACTTGGGTGTAAAAGTGCTAGAAAACCATAACGGCTTTCTAGCGCTTGTTCTGTTCCCACTATCGCCTCCTATTAGTCAATTTCCTATGTTGCCATTTGAGTGATCTATTAAAACTCAAATCTGATCACACTGCTTCCCTGCTTAAATTCCTTCAAGAATTGTTTACAGCTGGAAGATGAAATCTGGACTTTTCAAGCATTTCAGACAAGTGTCATGACTCCAGCCCTGAGCCGTTCTCTTCCTCTTCCACCCTATGGTTACCAATATGCATGACTTTGAAGTTCTAGAAATACACTATGCTCTGCTATCGCTCTGTGGTTTGCATTTTCTGCTCCTTCTGTTTGGAACAACCTTCTTCCATTCTGCCTCTGCATAACTCCTACATTTTCCAATGTTTTAGCCCAAGCCTTATTCCTTCTAGTTGGTCTTCTCAGAACATCCCAATCCTTGCCTTTAATCTGGGTTAATTGCCCCTCTTCTGTGCTTTTGCAATAGTTTGTATGAAACCTCCATATTGGCACTTATCAAATTGTATTATTAGGATATTGTTTTGGAATATTAAGCTAGATTTTCTCCCAATACCTGTCTTCTTCCTTATGTTATCTATACCCTTGGCCTTTCTTCCATTCAGTCAGTAGAACTGCATTAAGGGAGAGACAATACATTAAAAAAAGAGAATATGATTATTAGGTGAAATTACCTGAGATTTAGAATTAATGAACAAGAAACTCTAGTGCTAAAGGATTCGGGACACAAACAATAGATTAGGGAGAAAAGTCAGTCAGCCAGGCTACCTCTCCACCAGACTAAAGATTCTTTGGACTTGGTGTGGGTTGAGGTGAGAAGAAAGTTAGAGGAGAAATAAGAGAACCAAGAAGCTGAGTGTTCCTAAGCAGTGTCCACAGACCAGAGCCTTCCATACGGCCTTCTGTTTAGAACACTCTTATTCAAGTCCAATAGGAAGCCTAGGAGAGAAGGAGTTAGCATCTTTCAAGGGTGAAAGATGTATTCTTTTCAGGTCTATCTTCTCAATGTTATTGAGGGAAAATAGCCATATGGTAACTTCATGTTTTTAAATTAAGTCAAAGCCGGGGGGTAATTACTGAGAGGTGAGAACAGGGAGAGATTTCTGCTAAAACCAATTGGAACTGGTCTGGCCACAGGAACCTCAGAATGACCAGGTAGCATGTGTAGTCCTTCCTGAGGTCTTGTCACTGGTAAGATTTTTATCAGTTTATCTGGAGGTAGAGGACTGTTGTCTAAAAAATGAATTTTATAACATTTCAGAGAAGACATTTTTGTGAGCTTTTTTAGAATAAAACAAATTTCTAATGTTCATTTCAATTATTTATTAGATCAATATTAGGGAATACTAAACTTATAAACTGTGGTAACTTTAATACCAACTATACATTTTCCTCTATCACAATTATATGAGTTCATTGAGGGTCAGGACTCTACTGTATGTATTTTCATGTCTACCAATAAGTTAACATATAAAAAACATTCTGTAAATGTTTGTGGACAGTATAATTGGAAGTCCCTTAATTAATTTTTTCCCTTAATTTTGATTCTTTGCATGTTATCTGCTGTGTCTACCCAGGTAGGTGGCCCTCCTGTCACTGGGTTCAGTTTAGAAAAGCTATTTTGATACATGTGGACCCGTGTGGATATTCCTAGGACCTTCTCACTTGGCTTATTTTTAGTGCAGATTCTTGGAAATGGCCCTGAGAGGCAGGCATATTTGGAAGAAAATATGTATAAATAGAGTTGGTGGCACAACTAGAACACTAAGTGTTCTCAAATTTAGTAGTGAATCTACTGGGATGCAAATAGATTGATTGACTTCACCATGCCCTGATGTCCAAGACCAGGCAAGCCTGCACGGAATCTGATGCCTCACTGTATCAGGCACCATGCACCAAAGGAAGCCCACAGTACTCACAGATCCCATCCACATGTTGTCCCTGTTGAATGCTCCATTCCCAGGCTGTGACAGTAGGATGCCAAAATGATCATTGGGCCTTAGTCTCCAGATGCAGGGACACACTGTCTTTAGGTAGTAGAGGTGACTTTTTAATACCCTAACAGCCATTCTTGGTTCCATAACCAAGAGCTTTTTGATTCTGGAATGTAGAAAGTCAGGTATAAAATTACCTACCTTAAACGATTACAAGTATTGGAATTAACGCCAATGCCTAAGTCCAAATTCATGTGTTGGAAGCCCATAGCCCTAAATAAAAACGTATTTACCCTTGTGTCTATTTCAAGCTCAGCGTTGTGCCTAGGATTGTAGAAGATAAAGGTAACAAGAAATGGAAAAATAAGCATCCTAGGACCAACAATAATACAAATTGAAGGAAGATGAAAAAATTTATCAGACTAAGGCTGAGAAATTCAGGAATATATTCTCTTAGATATTTATTGTAATCTCCAAAAAATAAAACAAGATAAACCCAAAGAACAAAAACCACTTTCTATACAGAATTCACATTCAAACTTAATACCTAACAGCACGTACAGTTTTTACACCATTAATTTCAATAAAGAGAATTAAAACTTCACAATGTGAATACACTTTATAGCTTTAAACCCAGACAAGAGCTCCTGTGGACACATGAAGAATCACGATAGTTGCTGCGCGGCAGTAGTTTTCAACTAAATGTCACTATCACTATATGAAAGCATTAAGCTGTTACTCAATATTTTCCCAAGAAGACCTCCACAGTGTAGTCACTGAGAAGGAGCCAAAAAGTGCCCGGTAACAAAGGAAGGTCTTCATCTGTGCACTTCCCAACACCCTTTATGGGAAATATGGAACTACAGAAAAATCTCTGGGCACGCATCTGCCTGGTTGACATTGGATTAGACAATGTCTTGTGGTTTGGTGCATGGGCAAAATGTCTAAATCAACTGTCTAATGTGGCTTTAAAGCAATTTGTGTTGTGTGGCCAAGTCTGGGCTTGCTCAGCACAGAGGAATATGATGATGCTGCAGCTTGTCTTCCTCATGGGGACAAAAACAGAGAGAGCCAAACTGGGGTGATTTGTTGGGTTTCGGAAGGCCAGTTTGGCTCTCTAGAGAAAGTAATGATCTATAGCTGCTGGCTCTGTCACCCTTCCATTCACGGGGAACATACTGTGATCTTTCCCACTTATTGGCCTGGTCCAATCTCCTCAGTCTTAATTCTTTCTGGAATCATGTCTGACCTCTTTAAAGAAGCCATTCTTAACTCTTCCAGTTCTTATAGGTCCTTCATTCTCTGTGCTCCTATATCCTGGCATAACTTAGCATGTAGATTATATCCTGGCATTTTTTTTTCCTCCTCCTTTAGTCAGTAAGCTTATTAAGGGCAGGAGCCATACCTCTTCCATGTTTGATTCTCACAGCACTGAGCATATGGTATTCAATAACTGAGTGATGACTAACTAAACATTTAAACACACTCTTAAATTATCATTCTAATGTTGGCTACCTGCTTACATTTTTTTCTTAAGTTTGGCACAAAGTTGTCACTAATCTCTCCGTTTCACCCACCTTAACTTGACTTCTTCAGTGAGTTTGAGAGCTAAATACAAATTTCAGGCTATCACATTTAAAATAGGGCCACTCATTGCCAGCAGTAGCCCAAAGCCATTTAATACGATTGGCACATCCCCACATGTCGATTTCAGGCTATTGTCATTGAGAGAACTGAAGGCTTCCTATGATGTACAGATGGCTACGGTCATCTAAAGCCAACTGCTCTTCATCATTTTTAGTGAATACCTCAACTTTTTTTCCTAAGGGTATCATGATTTACTCTGCTAACTAAATGAAAAGGCAAAGCACAATGTTACAAATGAGTGCTTTGCCTTAAAACTTGAAAATGGCAAATAGTTTATGTTAGTTGACCTACCTTAAACTTCATATACACAAACACGTATAGTTTTTGGCAATCCAGCAACCGGGCCTAATTTTTTGATTTTTGCATCTCAGTGAAGTTCTAGGCCACCAAATGTGGGATTAACCACGGTGGTTTGAGGATGAATATATGTGATTACGATGACACACCAAAGTGATTTAAGGATTCTGACTTTTGTTTCTCCTGTATCATCAGTGTGGACAATTGAGAATTGAAAGTGAATATAACATTAGCTACAACCTAAAAAGACATCACTATTTTAGGATTCCCAGGGTTGACAGTATTAAATTTGCAAAACAAAACAAAACAACCAGGTTGAGTAACAATAAAATATACAAACAAATACAAGAGTGAAAATTTTTAGTAGACACGACATGTGATCAACTTTTCTGAGAAGAATAAAAATGACTTTTCCTTATGTGCATATTTTTTTCTTAGGTATTTAAATTAGCTTCTTATAAGAGGTGTAAGAAGTCTGAATTAAAGAAGGGAATGCCTGTATAAAATAAACTAACAGCCGTTCTGTCTTGAAAATGAAATCCGCAGTGCTAAAAGGCAAAATTGACATAGTCACAGACACTAAGTGTCTTATAGGAAAAAAAGTACTTTGAAGTAGGCACAGAGGAGTTTCACATGACACCAATAAGATATTTACTGTATAAATTGCACCACTAGACAAATACAGCTACAAGAAATAATTTGAATAAGTCACACAGCCATCAAAGCATCTCACACATTCATTATAATTCACTCTTTCACACTAGTTTATATACACTGAGTAAGTCATTAAATATTGCACTTATTGGCCCATGAACCCTCAATTCTGAGGTGTTGAAAAATAGAAAACAAATCTATTTTTATTACATATTTCATGCAACATTTAAGACACTTCAGTTCCACAAACACCATTAAATAGTTGTACATTTGGACAGCCCAACGGGATCACATCACGTCTGACATTAACAATATATTAACAGGAATTACAGGAAGTTTTCATTCAGCACACATCCTAGGGATGATGAAACAATGCGTGGAAAACCATCATATTGATACAGCACACAATCCCCAGACTTCACTTTTATGAGGAGTATGGCACTGCTAGACAGATGGAAGTCATGCTCACATCCCTGAAAGGCCAGGTATCTGTGTGGCTCATGTACCATCTGTGTCTTTAAGAACAGTATTCACGAACCAAGCAATCCCTAGCCCCAAACAACATGAATATGGAAATACTTCCATTAAGAAATAAAGCCACAGCCAACTCTCAGTTGTCCACAACAAAGGAAAATATAAACACAGGTGAATGAGATACACAGGGAACCCCCAACCTCATTTCGCAAGTAATAACTGGTTAAAACTTCACCAATAATAGCGCTGGTGGGAGATGAATGGTGAAACTTGAGTCTTATTTCCTATTCTCGGTCCTGTCATTCTATGAGGATAGTGCTTTAAGAAACTGAAATGCAGATAAAAAATTAGGAAGCAGAAAAGAGAACTGCAAATAGAATGTTCAGTCTGTCCACCAGCTAGAGGTTCTGATCTTAGTACTCAAGCTCTGACAGGTTTTGAAATTTAATATCGTTTGTCTAGAATGTTTGCAAACTGTATTTTCTCTCTATCCTCTTTTTAATGAGAATTATGTGCATAGATACACAAGTCACAGCAGCGCAAAGAATCTATTTTGTAGACCTTTTTAAACAAAATGTGAGTTACAGTTGGAACACAGCTAAAACTCCCTTTTCCACAGCACTGAGAAAGCACCATATTGGAAATTTCCATTCATAAAAAAGATATCTCTGTGTGGGAGTGTGTATGGGTTGGGAGGGGCAACACTGTGTGTGGCCCAAGTGTAAATATTTTAATGTACCAAAGGGAAATATTCTTTGACTGGAGTGTCAAGCATTTCTGTAAAGGTTTTTAAGAAAAAAGCTACATTTGTTTATGAAATACCAATAACAATAGGTAGATACGTTTTAGGTAAAATCCCCAGACCTGTTTTTGCCCTCTTAGGGGATGCTGTATTTCTAGAACCTGGAGCCCTTTAGGTGCACTGTTAGGATAAATGATGCTTTTTTCTGGTCATAAACTTCATCTTTTACTTAATTTGTCCTAATACATTTCAGAATATAAAACCGGTTTATCTCCTCAACAGGCTTTGGTCAAAAATTCACTTAAAATATAAAGGACTCTAAAAAGCTGACCCTAACTGTTCAACTCATCAGAAAGACTTCACCATTTTACTGGTAAACTACTCAAACCAGGTAGTATGCACGAATAGGCAAAGCTAAGCAGAGCTGTAAAGGTTGCATCTTCCAGGGGGTGATTAGAAAGGCCACATAGGTGTAGTTGCTCACGTGGCACCCTAACACGCACACTGAGCGAGTATACACACAAAGGAACCAAGAGTTCCAGGTACCAGTCATGCAAACTATAATCTAGAGAGAGAGGATTCTTCAGACAGAAAGACAGGCCACTTCCCAAGTATGCTACACCAAAATACCTGATTGAGAATTCTAATAGTATATGAAAATTATTAACAAACACTTTTCATCTAGAAGGGTTTTAGTCATGACTTTAAGGTAAGATTTATCCCACAGTTTTTCAAATGCAGCTGCTACTTCAGGCTTGGGATAGCTTGGTAGAGTCTGGATGCATTTTTAATATAGTCCCACAGGTGTCACACGGTTGACTGAAGGATGACATAGTATATACTCACCAAACACTAAGATACACATTGGATAAAGTGTGTCACAATGAGCCACTGATTACCAACTACCACACTTCAAAATTAATGTTGCTTCATGGAAGTTCAGCTAATAGTGGACTGTATTTTACTTTTAAAAAAGAACATTGCATACCTGAAAGTCCATTCTCAGCATAGATATAGTTAAAAATGGAAGCTTAAATTAGTTCCTGAAAAACAACCCATGTGCTAAACAAAAGGACTATCATTAATCTGGGGTAAGAACTAAGTAGGTGAAATATATATTTGTTTATTGAGTATATAGATGTCTTATATAATTTGGGTTGTAATTTTGTAGAATATATGCTTCACATTTATCATAACAATGCTGCAGCTTCCTGCTACAACTGAAGGCATCATCATAGTTCCTTTTCCAAATAAAAATCTTAGCATTTATTTACCAGGCAGCAAGGGGATACTGACTTCAAGTGACCTAAGGGAGGAACTATACAAACCTCTTGGACCTTATAGTCTTTGGGAGCTCAAGGCAGTAGAAGCTGTTCAGTGGGGGCAGCAGCAATGAATTAGTTCCCTGTCCTGAAGCAATTCTTCTTGCGAGCCCATAGATGTGAGGCTAACTTGTAAACTGCCATCTTAGGACTTAAGAAACTTCACACACCTTCTACATCCATTCACATCTCAAAAAGCTGAAACGCAGATTCGCTCTGTGGATGGCTATTTAGATGAATTAATTTCCAGTCACATTTTTCAATGACATTAGGAAAGAAAACTAATGCATCCAAACCAAAGCTCTTGGATGTGTCTGCTCAAAACAATCAAAGTTTGTTTCTAAAAGCGATTGGAGAGCTGGGGGTGGTGAGGAGAGGGGTGGCAGAGGAAGAGAAATTCATACTTGAGACACTAATTGAATTGTATCAAAGACAAAAGATGGATGTCTAAAATTTACAAACAGAAGTATATACTTTTTAAGGTGTCTTGTTTTTTTGAAAACAAATTTAATTAGGCATTTAGTAAAAATGACCTGTGGTTATTTAATCTGTTGGCAGATGGAGAGAATGTAGGGGGTATAGCATGTGTGTGTGTGTGCATGGGCGTGTAGCCGAGTGCATGTGTTGGCCAAAGACGGAAAAGCCTTGGAACTACAATGTTCTAATTTATAAGTAATATACCTGGATTCCAGTAGAAGCTCACTTCGTTAACCCTGGGCTGGTTCCTCTTTTGCCAAATTTGATTATAAAGCCAAGATCTCTTGATGAGATTAGGAATGGAGAATAATCTCTTTCCATGTGCTTTACAGCAGAAACATAGGTGTGCATTCACTTGAATTCTGTGACAATCCTCTTTGGAAACTTCTCGCTCAATGTAATTCGCACCAGGGTAGGAGTTTCAGAACTAAGAATCAGTTAGGAAGGCTTTGCTTTCATTGAGGTTTGGAAAATAGAAATTATCAAATGTTTCTTGGCAATATCACTTGGGCTGCTGTTGCATCACATTCCCCTGACTGGCATAAAAGTAGTTTAACTTTGGCATATTGGGCACTGTGTAAGTAGGCACTGGATTTGGGTCTTCTGGTCCTAGGGCCAATTAATTTCAATAGTAATCTGTCCTTTTAGACAGATTTCTAGAAAGGGGTTTACAAGAAAGCAAAACTCAACTCTTTCCCTTCCACTTTTCTACCATCTCTCATTTTACAGTAATACACATATTAAGGTCCTTCTGGAAAAGCCATTTGAAACATCATATTTAGGCCCTTGACATCTGTATGTATGTGTGGGATGGGGACTGTGAGAGAGGATGAGAAGGTCTGCCTGGCTTTATTGCTTCATATTAAAAGTGAGCTTAACAGCTATGTTATTCAACATGACCACTTTCTAGTCCAAGTTATAGAAATAATACAATATCATGCAAACAGGCTTCTGTTGCAAACAAATCTGTTTTGATGCCCCCTGCCTTGTCTCTGTCCTTTCATTTTAATTTATGTGATTTTTTGAATCTGGTCACCCCATTAAAATCTAATAAAGCATTAATGTTTTCTTGTCTTCACTGAGCTAAGGCCTGCCTTGCAGGGTGCCAAAGTAGAAATTTATTACCCATTAGTGGATCTTAAGCTAAGAATATGAGAAATAACATGGATATGCTTAAAACATCCCAAATTCTCTCTCCTGTAATTTTCATCTTCTAACTTTCTCAAATGTATGTGCCCTACTTTCCTGATTTGCAGGCATTTATCCTCCAGAGATCTGTCTAGATACATGCGTGTTTCCCTGTCAATATTCTTGTCTAATAAACTTGCATCCAATTCTTTCATAGAAAGTGTTTCTATTTTTGAAAAGAGGAGAAAACATCTTTGACATGATCACCAAAAAGGGGGGAAGCTCACTTCCAAATCTGCCAACCTGTGCTTGCTGCTGCTTAAACTCCACCTGCAAACACTGCTGGGGAATGACACAGACGCCAGCTTCCCTCTAGCGCTCAGTCAGAAGAGCTGGTGGGATTTGCTTGCTTTTTGTACACAGTCTTCAGGAAATCTGGGAGGAAGAATCTCAGTGTTCCAATGGTTTCCTTCTTCTTCCCAAATTGCTGACGGCATCCTAAAGTGGTTCTATAACTCTCAGCTCCAAAGAGTATGCTGAGCAACTTACACATTTTTAAATGCTCACAGAAGGGGGGATTTCTGAACACCAGCATTGAAAAAGATTAGAGATGAAAATTGTCTTTTCCTCAACCTGGGAGCCATTGTGATACTGTTTAAATAACTTTTAACTAGGCAAAAGAACTCAGCTGACGTGTGAGCAGAAGGCAGAGGTTAGGGAAGCAAACCTACCTCTTATGCTGTCACAAACTTCAACTTAACCTCTGCTCCAAGAGTTGGTAATGGTTCCAGAAAGTTTGTATGTTATGGGGGGCTAGTTATTAAGGAAATGGGGGGAGCTCAGGCCTTGGAATTCTCCAGCTACTCCTCTTCCTCTTGGTTAAAATGCTTGTTGCATTACGCATTCAGCAGATACTCTCAGGCCGCCAGTGCCCTCAAATATTCAGAATGTTGGGTAGAATCAGTGGGAAAAGCAGCCCTGGGTTAGGGTACTTCTTATTTAAACAGATAAACTAAAATTACTCTTTAATATTTACCTGACTAAAATTAGATTTAATCTCTTAGGAAACTTGCAAGGGCCTTAAAAACAATATTTCAATTTCTTTATAGTCAACGGTCTCCTCAGTTATAAAGAACACTGAAAAATAGACATATTTCCTGAACAGTAAACTGACCAGACCCATGACAGTCTCCCTAATCAAGAGTAATATTTCCACTTGATTTTCAACTAGAGTAAAGCAAATAAGGTCTCCTGAGATCTCTTCCTGCCCACACACACGCAAGCAATTACTTGATTATTTTCCCTACAAGTGAACAGCATAATTTTGAACCCGTAGCACAAAAGTCAGTTGTAGTGAAATTATAGTCTGAGGTCCCAGCAGTAGCTTAATCTGAGAAGAAATCTGAAACAAAAAGAGCCTAGAAGACAAATAACAAATCACATGCAAATACCAGATGTTTATAGATGGATAGTCCTTACAAATTTAAGATCACATATTAGCCACATATTAACACAGGAAATCTCCCAAGAATTGAATGCATGTACGAGCCATTGACATCAAAGATTTCCCTCAAATAATTATTAGGCAGTATAAATGAAGGCTAATAGACCATTTTTAAAGGCGGTTAGCAACCAGCCCTCCTGGACCCGCCTGTGTGCGTGGGGACATTAACAGCCACAGTTGGGCTGCGGTGGAGGAGGGGTTTCCTTGAGTCTTGTGTTCTGCTTTGCGGCAGTGATGGCCGGATCGGTCTCCAAACTCTCTGACATTTTGTCACAGATGATATCCACAAGACGCTCAAATGTCTGCTTGACATTAATATTATCCTTGGCACTTGTTTCGAAAAATTCAAAACCTGGAAGAAACACACAGAAGCGCAGCTTGGTTATTTCATACCTCTGCTGAAATTGAATGGGACCTGGTTATGGTTTTGAATGGTGGTGAGGTGGCAGCAGCGGGTGGTGGGTTTAGTTTGGGTGAGAGATGAGAGGCAGGCATGAGTTGCCCTTTGAGCCAATACTACTTGAGCCAACCATCTTGCTACTCATTAACCATGAACAAAAGGTATAAAGTGGAATCAGTGATGTTCACATTTTATTTTTCTTTATCAATTCATTTATGCCACCAGCATGGCTGAATAGACAAAAAAAATGTTCCATGGCAAGACTTAATGTTGCCATTACTAAGAATCCTCAAAACTGAGTTGGTCTTTGCCATGTCTTCCCTCAACTCCTGGCGCACCATGTAGCCTCTCACAATTGTTTCCAGGACTGTTGTTATTTGGCGGTTTTTTTTCTTTTCTCATTTCAGATTCTACAAAAATTATTAATTTTCATTTTTTTTCATTAACTTGAGGCTTAGAAGACTGTGTGTGCATATTCTGCTGCAAAAGGGACCACCAAAGTCCAACATCATCCAGCCCTAACTTTTTTCATGTCAGCCTTGCTACTGCCCAGTAAAGGGTTTGAGGGTGGGCTTTTGGTGAATTTCCAGTATTTAACTGGACACGAGGTGGCACTAACGAATCATTGGATTTACTTTAAGCGTGCTTCAATCTCCTTTAGGATTTTTTTGAGTGGTGACAGCTAACAGCCCTCTGGGGCTTTGTACACCATTGCATCTCTCTACTGGTGCTGAGTTTTCCATAGCTTCTGTTATCTGTCAGCAGCAATGTTTTTACCAACATCCGGGAAAAGGACACTTGATAAATTTCAAATGAGCTGCCAGAATTTCAGGAAGGTACAAAAAATGCAGTGACAGTTTCACACTTCTATGTGTCACTGTACCTGGGCGGAAGCAGCCTTAGTATGCTGCTCTGTACACAATCTTATCACGCTATTGTTTGCCTTCACATTCCACTGGCTGAGCTTACCAGTCAGTTGCCATGACAACCTCCCCACTAGGCCAGCCAGAGATTGCTCTGGTCCATTCAGGGGACGTTGATTTAGGAGGTATTGGGCGGAACACACAAATGCTTTCCTAATCCATTCTGAATTTTACACCCTATAAATCCTTCTGGTTATATCTGGCCCTATCTCAGGGGAACCACATGGATTCAGAGTGATTAAATCATGTGATCTCATCCCAGCTCCTGGGGCCACAGGAAAAAAGAATGGACTAACATTTAGCAGCCATGTTAAAATCCCTGTGATAACCCAGAAATACTTATTTTCTTAAACAATATAGAAGGGTAGACAACAGAAAGCAATTTTCATGAGTTAAAATTTCTAATTTAGTTGTCATACTATCTATTTAGTTAGATGACTATGTCTGAGCTTGAATTTCACTAAGTACTGTGTACTTATTGTTAAAATCCAAGTGAATAATTGCAGGATTTGAGCTGAAGGAACATGAGTAAATTCAGGTACTATAAAATAGCAATGGATACTTCAAACCCTCTTTGGCTTGTATTTCTCTTTCATTTCTCTCTCTCGACAGTGCTCATATAGCTCTCTGACATTCTGCGTTTCTTTACAGGAAAGGCTATCTGGCATTAACAGAATTCCATTAACAGAATCCTCTTTCCTAAAGTGTGCCCAGTCTATAGGACCAGATCATTCACCCTTCAACAATTTGATTCAGATTTTGGCAAGTATGGATCTAAGCTCTATCCTTATTACTAAGATGTCAGAACTATTTGCATCCTTGTGGGGATTTTCCAGTGCTAGCTGGAGGTACGACATGTCACAAGATACCAAGACCCCAATGAAGAAGTTAAGATCCCTAGAGGAAACTTGGGGGAACAAAATCCTGTAATTTGGCACAAAGATTTAATTTACAGTTTCAATTCTCTCACCTCTTCTGGTACCACTCTTACTTATCAGCATGATTTGGGAAGGCTTTGAAGGAGGGTATCATAAAAGATTTGGCCAGTGTGAAAGGACAGTAATCCACGCAAGCTTTTGTCAAATATAGCTCCTTTAATCCGGGCTTTGAGACACCCCATGATGCTGGTACACAACTTAAGGTCAGTAAAATGATCCTAGATCCCAAGAGCCGGATGCTCTCATGGTCTCGACCTTAACCTGGAACCCCAGGAAGACATGGCTACTAAGGAGATAGTGTCCCAGGAAGATAACACCATGTTATAACAGTACCCCATTTATCCAGCATGGCTGGAGAAGCAGGTACCATAATATGGGGAGAGGGATGGAATATCAGACAGAAGATATGGGATCTAGCCCCACTAGCAATACTTACTAGCTTTGAGACCATGGGCAAGTCACATTTTTCTTCTCATGTTCCTTGTTTATGACATTTGCCTTGCTTAGCTCGCATGGCTATTATGAGGCTCGAATGAGAAAATGTATGTAAAAGTGCCAAGCAAACCAGAAACTGCCATGATAACTCCAACAGAAATAGTAACAATTTGAGTGGTTACTACATAACAGGTACTATTCAAAGCACTTTATCCATTTTAACTCATTTTATCCTTAAGGTAGATGCCAGTGTTTTCTTCAGCTAAGAAAATGGAGTCACAGAATAGCTGAGTACTTGCTCAAATATTTACTTGCTCAGCCAGTAACGGTGAAGCTGGCACTTGAACTACTAACCTGGACACTCTCTTGCTCCTCCATCTACCCTGCAGAAGCAAGGGACTATTTGGTTCCAATTGAATTGGAAGTTTTATGTTAATAATCATACTATATACCATAAACTTCCATCAATTTAAATAACTAGAAAATAATGAACTAGATTTAATACTGTCAGTGAAGCAAATGAAACATCTTTTCTTAATGATTCAAATGTACTCTGATATCTTGTGCCGCCTACGGTCCATCAAGGTGGCCATCAGGAAAGCTGCATCTCTATACAGAATTACAGATATAAAAGGTTCTGGATATTAGGCTTCCTCTCATTGACCAGATATGCTGTTTGTCATAAAATGAGAAGTTCAGGATCAAAATCAACATCATCATCATTTTAGCATCTAGTTGTCTGGATTCAGGGCAAATGTGAGTCTACTGTGCAATAAATGATTCTCCATCCAGGTGAATCAATATCTTTGTTCAATCAAGTATTTGTGAGGCCATACACATCTCATGCCTATGTATGCCCATGGATTTTTAAAGCTCATGGCCTAAATCATAACCACAAATTCAAACACTTCAGCCTTTATTCTGCTAAGTCATTGTTGGATTTTATGGCCATACCTCCCAGTATCTCAGTATTTTAACTTCAAATATAGTAACACGATCTTGTTTTTAGAAATCTTTAACCTCCCATCCATACACATGGACATCAGTGGGAAGCCAGCACTTCAGTCAGTAATGCTTGGGAAAGAGTCTTTCTTATAAAATTTTGAAGATCATTTCCAATTTACTAGGTAGGCAGTGTGGTTCAGCAGATCAAATAAGTAGCCCAAGGTCACACAGCAAGCCAACTGTGAAGGCTGTCAGAGAGCTCCTGATAAATAGGTTACTGATTTAGCTTCCAGCCTTGGACACCTGTCCCTTGGACTACGTAATCCAGTATTAATAATTTCTGTGAACACTTTCAATTAACCATAGAAATTCTGGTCATTCTTTCTCATTCTTCCCTCATCAAAATCCTAAATTCTCTCTGGCACAGGTAGCACTATTCCTGAGTTGGATGAGCTTTGCACTGTGGTCCAGTACATCTCTGTTTTAGGCTTTTTCATGCCCGATCTTGGAAGGATCACTCCTTCCCTTTCCGAAAGCCATTAGAGGCACTGCTGGACCCTAATCCATTTAGGGCCTCGTGCTTCAGTTTCACTTGATGCTAGGTCCTGCACAGAAGCTTGGAAAGATTTTGTGTGGAAAACATATTAGTTATCCTGAGGAAAGAAGGGAAGAAACACCAAGCCATACTTGTGTCCTCTTCATGATGTGTATATTGTTGATGGGGCACCAGAAAGGTGGTGAAAACCAGATTGCAATCTAGTGCCTGAGCGATATGATCCTACATCCTGACTTCATACTATTGGAGGTCTACCTGCATTAGAATCTCCTGAAGTGCTCAAACGCGTCTAAATTCCACCCAAGACATACTAAGCAGAATCACAAGGAGGAGATAGGGCCATAAATATGCATTTTTAAAAGGCTCCTTAGGAGGTTTCTTAAGTACATGAAAGGTTAAGATTCACTATCCTCTGTATATCCATGTTTATAGCAGCATTATTCACAATAGCCAAAAGGCGGAAGCAACCCAAATATCCATCTACTGATAAATGAATAAACAAAATGTGGTATATACATACAATGGAATATTACCCAGCCTTAAACAGAGAGTTATGACACATGTTACAAATGGATGAACCTTGACAACATTATGCCATGTGATAGAAACCAGTCACAAAAGACAAATACTTTGTGATTTCACTTACATGAGCTACCTAGAGTAGTCAAATTTACAGAGACAGAAAGTGGAATGGTGGTAGCCAGAGGCTGGGGGGAAGGAAGCTTAGAGAGTTGTTGTTTAACAGACAGAGTTTCCGTTTTCCAAGATAAAATGAGTTCTGGAGATTGGTTGTACACCAAGGTGAATGTAATGCAGAACTGTACACTTAAAAATGCTAAGATGGTAAATTTTATATGTATTGTACCAAAACTTAAAGATTCTTCACAGAAATAAATGCCCCCATCAAGAAACAAGAAAAATCTTAAACAACTTTACACTTCAAGAAACTAGAATAAGGAGAACAAAGCCCAAAGTTAGCAGAAGGAAGGCATTAACAAAGATCAGAGCAGAAACAAATGAAATAGGGACTGAAAAGACAACAGAAAAGATCAATGTAACTAAGAGCTGCTTCTTTGAAAAGAGAAAACAAAATTGACAAACATTTAGCTAGACTCACCAAGAAAAAAAGAGGACATGCTATAATCAATACCACAG